TCCCGGCCATCTTTTCAATTTTCACTCACTTCCAACACCCACTCAGCAACGTAACCGCTGATCGACCGCAAACATGGTACCCAAGCTGAAGACTGACCAGCAAGTGGCGGACAACATTCAGATTGCCCAGGCCGAAGCACCTCGTTTTGAGAAGGTGCAATGGACAAAGGAACCCCATCTACGCAAGCTCTACTTCCTCACCATCTTTCTCATGGTAGCATCTGCAACCACTGGTTACGATGGAATGCTCGTCAATACCTCGCAGATGATGAAGCAGTTTGAGGATTATTTCGGAGAAGGCGTCACCAACAACAACAAACTGGGCATTCTCATCAACATGTTCAACATTGGTAGCATCATTTCGTTCTTCATCACTCCCTACATTGCGGATCACTATGGTCGCAAGACTGCCATTTTCATCGGCTGCTTGTTCATGATCCTTGGAGGATTCTTGGGCGCCTTCTCGAATGGCTGGGGCAGTAAGTGGATTGAGGTGCATGAGAGACGAGAACTGAAAACTAATGCGTTTCCCAGTGTACATTGGTGGTCGTTTTGTTCTTGGTTTTGGCAACTCTCTGGCACAGATGTCGTCCCCTCTCCTTCTCACGGAGATCTGTCACCCTCAGCACCGCGGCCCTGTCACGGCAGTGTACAACTGTCTCTGGAATCTAGGCTCTCTTATTGTCTCTTCGATAGGCTGGGGTACAGCTTATATTGATGGCAATTGGTCGTGGCGTTCCATCACTCTACTTCAGATCACCCCATCTGTCATGCAGATTTGCGGTCTGTGGTGGATCCCCGAGTCGCCGCGTTACCTAATGAACATGGACCGCCACGAAGATGCCCTGGCCATGTTGACCAAGTGGCACGGAGGAGGAGATGTCAACAACTCTACCGTCCAGTTCCAGTACCGGGAAATCAAGGAAACGATGCGCTTGGAGAAGGAAGCAGACAAGGCCACCACGTACGCCGACTTCCTCAGGACCAAGGGGAACCGGTGGCGATTGGCCATTATCATCTCTCTCGGTATCATTTCCCAGTACTCTGGTAACGCGCTCTTTTCGAACTACATGAACACCATCTACGAAGGTGCTGGGATTACGAACCAGAACCAGAAGCTCGCCATGTCGACCGGCAAGGCGGTTCTTGACCTGGGTTGTGCCATTGCCGCTGCGCTGACGGTTGACTACTTTGGACGCCGGCCCCTCTTCCTGGTCTCCATCACGGGCATGGTTGTCAACTTTGTTTGCTGGACAATCACCGGTGCGATCTACGAGAACTCGAACGAGACTAACTCGGCTGCTGGCTACACTCAGCTCGTCTTCATCTGGATCTTCGGCATCTTCTACGATATCGGGTTCTCGGGTCTTCTCATCGCCTATGCCCTCGAGGTCTTGCCTTTCCACCTTCGCGCTAAGGGCATGATGATCATGAACATTACCGTCCAGGCCATCCTGGCTCTCAGCAAGTAAGAAATACCCTTTCTCTACACGATGCGGAGGCATGTTCACTAACCCCGTTCAATAGCCAAACCAACAAGATCGCCTGGGACAACCTCCCCAACCACTGGAACTTCATGTTGTTCTACACGCTCTGGGATTTCTGCGAGCTCGTCTTTGTGTATTTCTTCTACGTCGAGACCAAGGGTCCGACCCTCGAGGAGATTGCTCGTATCTTTGACGGCGACGATGCCATTGCCCACGTCGACATGAACCAGGTCGAGAAGGAGATTCACGCGGGCGAGCACCTTGAAGATGATATCAACATTCACGCCGTCGACAACGAAAAGTCGCGTGTTTGAGCTCCAGCTGTGGTGGGTAGTTTGTCATCTGTGCATGGGATGTGCAAGGGATGAGGGATGCGACGTGGGTCAAGAAACCCTCAGCGGTGGTGTCCCTTTCCAGTCCGGTCTTTATTACAGAGCAGATCCTGTTTGCCGGTGGTATGGATGTAGGAGTAATGAGGTTAAGTCTTGAACCTCGTCTGACTGAACTGGGTGGGCTCTGGTATTAGCAGATATAATAATGCCGAAGGCCTGGTTTCCCATCGTTCTTCTAAGGCCTGTAAATGATGGTTATACTTCTGCTCATTTGATCACACTATGGAGGACTGGATGGAATCTCTCGCCTTCCTCCTGACAAAACAACCATTGCAAAAATGACAAGTTTGAAAAGTTGCAGGATCTCAAAAGAGATTCGAGCGATTCCCAGGGAGGCATTGAATCAAAATACCTATGAATGTCTATCAAATATCCTTCTTGGGTATCAGCTCACTGAATAGCGCGATACAGTTCTGCCCGATAGTCAGCTGGTCATCATCCACAAGAGTTCAGACCACTAGTCGCTCCAACCAAAAGTGACGGTGAGTCAAGGCGTGTTTTCTTGAGCTTGGTTCTAGCCTTACGATGCAGCGGAACGACCCAGATTTTTCATTTGCGACTAGACCTCCACTCAAAGATGACATGGCATGACGACCAGCGCCAAATTGTTCGCAAGGGGTGCATGGACTGAGGGGTACCAAAGGCGACAGAAGCATCCAGCTTCACGATATGTACTTGCCAGAGGTGCAAGGATCCCCGCTCATGTTGTGAATAGCAGCCATTGACCGCCGACCCGAAGTCATGCAGCGAGACGATGAAGAAGAGTGTGAAGTCGTGGGTCTCCGCAAGAAACAAGTCAACTTCAAAAGTGTACCCTGGTAGTTACCTCCCTACTCAAGGGGTGGCGCTCAAGGCGATTCACCCCTATGCCCCGCCATCTACCTCGCTATATCCTTGGATCCCGCTCCGCAGCAGGGCCGAATCTTGCCTACCTGATGACCTCCAGCAGAATAGCGGCTTTGATTGCCATCCTGCGAAGGCTCGGCTCTGATGTACCGGTAGTGGCAGGTCTGGGTGTCGGATGTTGTGCTCTCTTCCTGGGCATATCAATGGTCTCCGCCGGACGCAGATGACATGACGAATGACTGCTTGCGTTGCCGGCTGGTTGGTCGGCTCTCCTCTGCCTGACTCTCTGGATTCGCTAAATGATCCGACCTCGGGGGTTCATGGTGAGGAAACTAGTTTAGACTCGGGGTTGTTGGACGGTTCGTCGCGCCATCACACGGCTGGCCTCCCTGGATGGCGTTGGGTTCGGCGCGTTGACGTACCGCAGGCTGCAGGCAAGTCGAATCGAGCAGGCCCACGATTATGTAAGGCAGCAACCATGCACAGCTCGTGAAATCTCTGGCTACCTGCCCGGAAGATCCTTTCTGGCGCAGACAGGAAGAAGTGACATCAGATGAGCCAACGGTTACGTCGTAACTCCATTGATCAACCATCCGAACACAACCACTTCCATCTTTATCCAGGCTGCGATAATCATCACGACTTCATGGCGTCGATCGGGACCCGTTGCTCGGACACCTCGACCCAGGACACCCAATCACTTTCTCTCGGGGCCTGGCGCTGCCCATGTCCAGACCCTCCATGGACCGAAAGCCCCTCGACCGATCTTCTTCCGCGAAACACTGGCCGCGCAATCCTCTTCGACGACCATCCAGACGTCTCGAAGCACTCGACTCCGGTTGCCGGGGCCCCTTGCTCTCGTGCCCTCTGACAGGTCCATTGTGCGGGGAAGCCCCCAGCAACCCTCAACCACAAACAGCCACGCCAGGCGCCGGCCCTCTGCTAGCGTGCTCAAGAGAAGCTTACTCGACAGCGAAGCCGATCAGCGATAGGGGGGGGGTTCCTGGGCGATCTCTTGGCCTCCGCGGTCGCCCCCTGCTTCCCGCAGTTCGACCCCTGTCGAGCCGACGGATGACGGGATTGGCAGACGTTTTTGTTCCAGTTGGACAACAAAGAAACAAAGCTGGGCACAGCCTTCCGTCTGCTTTCTTCTGCGTGTTTGTTTTCCGTGTTTCGAGGTCCTTTCCAAGTGCTACGATCAGCCTCCCTAGTGCCTTTGGAGCACCTCTGAACTGGTGCTGCTGTGGACTTTAGCCAGGCTTTCAGGCTAGGGGTTGGTGTCTTGTTACCCAGCCTCGAGTGGATGGACGGTACCACTGGCGTCGTGCGACGAGTCCAAAGTTACCTTTTTGCTACGCCTTCCATCTCCTCCCTGGCAGCTGCGATAAATCCAATGGCTGAGAAGAGCCTGGCTGATGGGTGCGATTGGGTTGAATGAATGTCGCTATATGCAGCAGCAGATCGCCTGCTGTGCCAACCAACCTCCGCAAACACCTGTCGGGCAAATCCAGAGGCTTCCCTAGATGCACGCTAATGCATGCTAGGCCCTCGTGCAACGACAGAAGGCTTTCCGAGATCACAGATGGCCGCTCCCAAGTGGATGGCTAGTTCGGGGTTCGACGGCGGCCTACGCCCCCGCCACCTCCCCTGACGGCCGACACAACCTCAACGTCAAACAAGCCACGCTGCGCCTGGCGGATACTTCTTCCAAACCACGCAGAGTCGATCAACCACTTGCCTTTCGGAACCTCGAGGCCAGCTGTCTCTTGACGTCAAAGTCCGTCCATCGGTCCTTTCCAAGATGGCCGGTCATCCCACCCAACCACCATGACTGCCCGGCCAACCATCCCAGCCATCAGTCCAGCCTCAGTCCATCAGTCCAGCCAGCTCTAGCAGCTTCTTGGAGGGGCTTTCGCGCGAGCCGGGATCTGCTCTCCCCTTGGTGATGACGAGAACGGAAAACCCAATCCTCCCCAGCGTCGTGATGTGCGGCTGTCATTCGTCAACTCTTGGGATGGTCCCAACCCCTTGCCCACCCTGCCTTAGCCACCTGGACTCCCTACCCACCTGGGCTGCCGATCCAGCCCCTGACAACAAAGTTGGTGAGAGGCCACGGAAACATAAATGGACTCCCTGTCTGCGCCTTTCGTCTCGATCCGACTCTCTCTCAACTGCTGCAGTTCGTTTATCACCATCGCTTGAAACGTAGAACGCCCAGAGACGTCTACCTTCCGTCGTTACTTGGTACTTCGAAACACTCGCTACAAAGCACATCATGAAGAACACTCCCGTCGTTCTCGCCGCCATGGTCGGCACCGCTATGGCTGCACCCCAGTCACAGAAGGCTCCGGCCGCCGCGGCTCCTGCCGGCTGCAGCACGACCTATGCCGACTCGTTCGAGATTAGCATCGTCGCCGCCCCCGAGGAGGTGAAGCGCCTCGAGGTATGAGATCTGCTCCATCTTGCCATGCCCCCATGTCTAACACGTGGTAGATGCGCGATGCTGCTTCTTGCGCCGGCGCGCCTGGCTCCCTGGTTGTGAACCTCAAGGACGGTGTCCTCACCGACTCCAAGGACCGTACCGGCTCCATTGTCGCCAACTACCAGTTCCAGTTTGACGGCCCCGCCCAGGCTGATGCCATCTACACCAGTGGCTTCGCTGTCTGCGACGACAACCTCCTCGCTCTCGGCGACCAGAAGACGTTCTTCAAGTGCAACTCGGGCAACTTTGCCAACCTCTACGACCGCAACTGGGCCCCGCAGTGCAGCCCCGTCGCCTTTTACGTCCGCTCCTGCGGCAAGAGCAAGCGGTCCGCGCAGGCCGACTACGGTGCCGCCCCGGAGCCCGCGACCCCTTCTTCCCACCCCGTCACCCAGATCGACGATGGTCAGCTCCAGGTCCCCACCGGCGAGCCCCCCAAGCCTCCCACGCAGCCCACCTACCCTGCTCCCGCGCCCCAGCCCGCGCCCAGCACTCCCTCCGAGCCCGAGTACCCCCCAGTTGAGCCCAGCACTCCTGCTGCGCCTGAGTACCCTCCTGTCGAGCCTTCGAAGCCGGCCGAGCCCGTGTACCCCGAGCCCAGCACCCCTGCCGAGCCTGAACACCCCCCCGCCGAGCCATCGAAGCCAGCCGAGCCCGAGTACCCTCCTACTGAGCCCTCGAAGCCTGCGGAGCCCGTGTACCCAGAGCCCACCGCGCCCGTCGAGCCTACGCACCCCGCGCCGGAGCCCGAGCACCCCGTGACCCAGATCTCGGACGGCCAGATCCAGGTTCCCACGGGCGAGCCTCCTGCGCCCCCCGTCGAGACGGAGTACCCTGCACCCCCTCCTTCGCCTCCTGTCGAGACACACCCCGCGCCTCCTCCCGCGCCTCCCGTCGACACGCAGCCCGTGGCCCCTCCCGCTCCCCCGGTCGAGACCACGCACCCTGTGCCCGTCCCTCCCGTCGAGACGTCGTACCCCGTCCCCCCCGGCAACACGACGACGCCTTCGGTCGTGTCTCCCCCCGTCGAGTCTGGCCCCATCGAGGCCAGCAGCGGCCGCGTCATCCCCGGCTCGATCGCCGCCCTGGCCCTCGGCGCCATGGGTGCTTTCTTCCTGCTGTAAGGGCACAGCCTTTGCCATTACCAGCACACCTAGGGACTTTTCTTGAACATATTGGTATCGCTCACGCCAAGGTCATGGCTGAGCCAGGGGAGCGGCGCCTCCCGGTCGGCGCAAGGACGGAACAAATTGCAGTCAGACCAGGAACGGAATGAATGGATGTATGGGAATGAATGGATGTATGGACAGTCTTAGATACTTCTAATTAGCTAGGGTAATCGATTCTTATCAAGTGCAGCAGACTTGTTTGATATGCAAGACAGGTGTCCGTCGAAGACATGAGAGCAGAACATGCAGACAGGTGCCCGTCAAAGACATGAGAGCAGAACATGTGCAGTGGCCTTGCCCGATTCGTCACGACCGGCCATCCGCAGTGACCAGATATGGCTACGAGTCGAGTCCATGGAGCTCGAGGTGGCATCGTGGCATTGCAGGGTGGAAACGGTCTACCCTAGGGTGAAGACAAATCCAATTCCCTTGGGCACCGCCGGATGGGTTCCAAACCCAACAGAACTAGAGGTGCTGCTGGAGCTCCTTGTCGGTCCAACTCCAGAGGCGCTCCCTCAACGCGGCATCCCGGCTCCTCGGCGACCCTTTGCCAGGCACGCCCACGGGATGGTAGAACTCACCACTGACGGCGTCCGGGCTGGCCGACGCCCAGAGCTGGTTGAGCGCGCCGTCTTGGACCGGCGCGGCAAACAGGAGGATCCAGGTGCGTATGAACAGCAGAAACAGGGCGCCAACATGCCAGTCCTTGCCGACAGTGGTGCGCACGGCGCCGGGATGGACCGTGACAAACCTCACGTCGGGGTAGCGCTGGGCGGCGGCGGCGGCGAAGTGAACCAGCGCCAGCTTGGACAGGCAGTGGCGCGCGTGCGTGCTCTCGGCCGCCATGGTGGTTCTGTACCGATCGAAGGCGTAGGTCGTCTTGCCGGCGTGGGCCTCGGCTGCCGAGGCGACGGTGACGACGCGCACGTCGGCCTCCGTGCTGGCCGTGGCGCGAAGAACGGGGAGCAGCAGCCGCGTCAGCAGGGCGTGGCCCATAAAGTTGGTGCCGAATTGCACTTCGTACCCGTCGCTGGTCAGGCGCGGCGCGGCGAAGACGAGGCCGGCGTTGTTGACGAGGAGATCGAGCCGGGTCTCGCTTTGCAGGAACGATGCCACGGCGGACTTGACGCTCTGGAACGATGCCAGGTCCATGGGGAGGAAGCGCAGGTCCGTGGTGGTGGTGACGGTGTCCTTCACCATCCGGATGGCCGTCTCGCCCCGCTCCTGGGACCTGCCGGCCACGTAGATGCGTGTAGGGTGATGCCTCGCGAGTTGGCGGACTGTCTCTAGCCCCAAGCCGGAGGACCCCCCGGTGACCAGGATGATTCTCCCGTCCAGATTGGGTATGTCTTCGTCTGGATTCCACGCATTGTTTCGGCCGAACATGGTGGGCTGGCGATGCGGTCACGGTTTGGTTGACCAGATGATCGGTGCTGGGCCAAGGGTGGCGCGGCGCTGGGGGGTAGAAGAAGGGACAATCGGGCGATTCGAGCCTCCATCTCTTCGGCAGCTCGGGAGACCATGAACTGCGTGTACGTAGTTAAGCTGTTCCCCATCAGCTGACCACCAGGGAGACGGGCGACGCGCCGTGGATGGGAAGTTCGTTTCCGCAACATCAAGGACTGGCTTGCTGCGGCGCAGGAGTACAGGGCCGCGGCAACGGCATCCCATCCGGTTTATCAGCGACTGGACCGGAGAGGGCGTACAGCAACGGCATCCCATCCGATGTCCCAGCGGTGAGGCTGTCTGTCAGGATGAGCGTTCGTTCGTCGGGTCGGGGCTTTATTGACAGCGTGGGCGTGTTCTTGCTTGGACAAGGCGTGCTGCGCTCAGGGCCAGGGGCAAGGCGCAGGGCAAGGCGCAAGGGGGTGCTCGGTGGGTTCCGAGGTTGCAGGGTGGCCAGGGGCTGCTGCAGCGGGAGCTCGCCGGCATCCCACTATCCTTTGTCAGCATTCTGTCCGCTTGCCGTGGGTGATGAAGCCACTGTACATGCGCTGACCACAGGTATCATCCAGACAGCCCCTACATAGGTAGTATTGGAACCCTCTCAACACCGCATCTCCATGGAATGCCCCGAAATTCTGCTTACTCGATCATCGGCGCTACATTCGAGAAAAATCTACTTTTGTCAGTTGAAGCTGGTGTGAAGCACAGTATCACAGCTCTACGACACAGCTGACAGAAAGCTTCTTGGTCACCCGCGTCGTCGGACTCGAGTGCATGGCCTTCTCTTACCGACAGAGTACAGGACTCCATGTAGCTCAGCTTCTGCAGCTTGCTTATTGTACAGTACATTACTAATGTTTCTAACAATATAATTAAATTGAAACAATCAAGGGGTGACAGTACATGGTACCATGGAGCTCGGCTTCTGCAGCTTGGTCTTCCTTGCTAACCCAGGTGCCGGCCAGTCCAACCGCCGACCACCCCTCTCTCTCTTTCTCGTCGCCCTCTAGCGCGCTGACCTGACTAGGGTTTGGTCTCTCGGGCTGGACCCAATGCATTGGAGAGAGCTGTATGAATGAAGGCTCAACTGGTCGTCATTTTTGGTACGTATTCTATTGCCAGTGCAACTACTCTCTTTCGACAGTTCACGGGATCTGGATCGCGATAGCGGCTTATCAGTTCCAGTCAGGCGTTACGTCATCACGCGCCGCTCTCGGGCAGGCGGTCAAGTCAATGCAAACCCCCGATGCATTCTGCCGGCCATCACCATCAGCCTCGCCTGCCTGCAACAACCTGCAACAACCTGCCTGCAACAACCCGCCCTGAATCCCAACCTACCGAGCGAACTCTCCCACTGCAGAAGTTCTCCCAAAGAAAAAAAAAGAAAAAAAAAACCAGATACCGCGGCCGATCCCACCCCGAACTGAACGCAGGCCATCTGCCGCCCACCCACCATGTCCGAATACTGGAAATCCACGCCGAAATACTGGTGCAAGCACTGCAGCGTCTTTGTCCGCGACACGAAGCTCGAGCGCCAGAACCACGAGGCGACGGGCCGCCACCAGGGCGCGCTGAAGCGGTCGCTGCGTGACATCCACCGCGGCCACGAGCGCGAGGAGCGCGACAGGGAGCGCGCGCGGCGCGAGGTCGACAGGCTCCACGGCGTCGTCGGCGGCGGCGCGGCGTCGTCCTCGGCGTCAGCGGCCGCGTCGTCCTCGGCGTCGGCCTCCTCGGGCCAGGCGACGGCGGCGCAGCTGGCGAGGCAGAGGGAGCAGCTGGCGGAGATGGGCATCTCCGTGCCGACCGAGGTCCGAGGCGACATGGCCATGCCGGGCGCGTGGACGGTGACGAATACGCGCGTCGTGTCTGCTTCGCCGCGGGCGGGCGAGGCGGCGGCCCAGGTGGAGGCCAAGGCCGTGGGCGTGCGGAAGCGAGAGGTCACGGACGAGCAGAGGGAGGCGGAGGAGGAGGCGGCGGCGGTGCGGGGGTTGTTCAAGAAGCAGCGGACGTGGGGCGGGACGAGGGCCATGCCGCAGGACGACGCCGAGCTCGACGCGCTGTTGCGTGGGGGGATGCCGCATGCGCCGCCGAAGAAGGAGGAGTCTGTCGAGGGAGAGGGCAAGACGGAAGAGAGCGCGCCGCACGACATGAAGAGCGCGGGGCCGCCCGTCAAGGCGGAGCCCGCGGACGAGGGAGAGGGCGGTATTGATCCGCCGAGAGACTCTGCGCCGGCGATACCAGACGTGGGCGTCAAGACGGAGGAGGGTGCCGGGGACGGGCCTGCGCCGGTTGTGTTTAAGAAGCGGAAGCCGAAGAACATTCGTCAAAAGTAGGCGGGTCGTTGGCTGTACATTGCACGCCGAAGAACATTCGTCAAAAGTAGGCGGGTCGTTGGCTGTACATTGCACAGGCGTCAGAGGCATGAGCACCCTGGGATGAAATTCATGACTGCATTGGATTCATGACTGCATTGGAGGCATTCTACTGGAAGCTATGGTGCGACAAGCCGTCCGGGTGTCCCCCTTGTGACGACATGCAAAGTCTGCCCCGTGTGCATCAGATGCATGCAACGTCGAGGTCGACGCAGGTATGTAGTTGATCTGACACAGCCAATCCACCTCTCCGCAGTTCCTGTCTCGAATGCAAGCTGCTACCGGATCAGTTGGATCCGTCTCTGCATGGCTGTCACGCCGGCCAAGCCCTCGGTGCTTTGAGCTCATGTCTCCTCGAGGCAGACGATCTCACAGGGCTTGGCGTTCCTGCGTAGGAGTTGTTCTCCCGGCCCAGGGTGGATGCGCTACTGCCATGATTGGATTGTACGCGTTCCGGTGCTCGCTCTCTACGCGGCAATGGAGCGGAATGTCCGACCAGGGGCTGCAGGCTGTCCTTATGCGTCCAAGCGGTTGTCCAGTGGAGGATGGAAGAATTTCAAGAATAATCCCCTAAGACATCATGGCTGTAATTCGGACGTCTTGGTACGAGTCACAAGACTGACACCATACTTTGAAGGACAGTGTACAATCCTGACTGCAGCCGGCCGAGCCAGTGTGCAAGGCTCTGGCGCGTGGGAATTCGTTCCCAAAAGCCTTCATGTAGACATGGCGTCCTCACATCGAAATCCCACAAGACTGCGAACGTGGACGAGTGGAAGTGTCTTCCTTCATTGCAATATGCGTGAGTCATATCAGAACTCAGCCTGCCTAGCACAATTCAACGGCTGGCAAAGAGCCCCAGCAGAGCCATGTCTGCCCGTCTGCAGCCTTCGTCATGATCGTTGTCGCGAGACTGCCGCTGCACCCTTCGTAGCGTCGTCACGGCACCCTCGCTGTCGACGAAGCCGCAAATCGCCGACCAAGACGCGCACGCAAGAATGCGGGCAGCGAGGAACGGTGAGCCGGAGCGAGAACCTGCATGTCAACCAGCTGTTGCATATGCGATCCTTGGTTTAACCACCCCGGGAAAAAAAGGTCCTGCGCCCTCGGCGTGAGAGGCAGTCATGAGGTGAGGTGCAGCTCGTCATCCTCGAGGTGCAGTTCTTGCGATGGATGGTGTTTCTGCAGTGACTAAATGGGCGGGGTCCTCGACCATGGCAATTCATGGTCCAAGGAAGGCCATAAGCATGTCCCATCCCGCAGGCATCGCATCCTGAAGGCCTCTCATTCCTGAAAGCGAGGTATATCCTGAACAGCCTCCCACTTGTCACTTTCGCTATGCACGAGCCAGTGGCCTCAAGAACCCCAACACACAGCTCGTGCCGAACGTCAACAGGACGTGGCCGCCGTCGCCTCCGGTCTTCCCCGACGGCCCCGGTGCTCACTCCGACAGGTTCTGGACCTCGCCCAGCTCCATGTCGGGCACGGCCTGCTGGATGTGCTTGTCGAGCAGGGCGTCGTAGATGGCGGGCCCGCCGGGCAGCTGGGTGATGAGGCGGCGGATGTAGTTCAGGTCGTCCTCGGCGCCGATGCCGATGCCGTTGGGGCTCGAGGGCGTGAGGGGGATGCGGGCGAGGACGTCGACGACGGACGAGGCAATGTCGAACAGCTTCTCGGTGAGGCCGACGCCGTGGACCTTGATGCTGTCGAGCGGCAGGTCGCGCGTCGAGAGGGTCAGGTCCTTGGCGACCTCGAGCGGGTAGTGAAAGGTGAAGCTGGGGCCGGCCTGGAGGCCGTCCTCGGAGAGGTAGCCGAAGCGCAGGCGCAGCTGCCAGAGGATGATGCGCAGCCAGAGCTGGGTGACGCGGAGGTTGGCCTTTTGCGTGTCCTGCAGGCGCAGCGTCGGCCGGAGGGCGGCGTTGACGGCGAGCTCGACGTGGTGGAGCGCCGCGGGCGACGGCGGGGCCGCCCCCTGCTCCTTGTTGAGGAGCGCGACGAAGGACGTGTCGAGGGGCCGGAAGAGGGCGGCGAGGCACCAGAAGCCGACGAGGGACGGGTCGTCGTCGTCGGGGCCCGCGCTCGGCGTCTCGGGCGTGATCTGCAGCGTCACGGGCCGGCGGTAGCGCACGGCGTGCGAGCGTTCCGAGATGAGGAGCACCCAGAAGAGGCGGTCGGCGAGGGCGCGGACCTCGGCGTCGTCGTCGCGCGGCCGCAGCAGCAGCCACAGCGTGTTGGCCTCGCGCAGGAAGAGGAAGGCCTGGCTGTGGTGGAGCAGCGCCGCGTGGCAGGCGTAGAGGAGAAAGGTCAGGAGGCAGAGCGCGAGCGAAGGATTCGACTTGCGGGCGAAGTGGCGGTGCGCCAGGATGGCCTCGTCAAAGAGGCGCTCGCCGTAGGCCGAGTTCTTCTCCGCGATGAGGCCCTCATTGAACAGGCTCTCGGGCTCCTCGACCTGGAGCAGGATCAGCGCGCTCATGGCGGCGAGGACGAGCTGGGCCTCCATGGCGACCTCGGACGGCGTCGAGCTGGCGGCCGCGGCCTTGAGGCGACCAATGTACTCGGCCGTCACGATGGGGATGGTGGGGTACAAGCGGGCGAAGAAGCGCCGCGCGCAGTAGTTGACGACGGTCACCGGCAGCAGGTGGGCCAGCCGCTGGACCGAATCCTGCGCCGGCGGCAGGACGTAGGCCTGGGGGCTCGTCGCCGCGGCGGCGCCGGCGATGTGTCCTTGGGCCCAGGTGATCTGGACGGGACCCGGCATGCCGAGGCATTGGTCGGCGAGGCCATGGTCGGAGCAGCGCTTGCACGGGCGGTAGTCGCTGCACGCGCGGCGCAGGTTCCGACAGCGTTGACAGGCGCGGGAGACCTGGGCTCTCTTGGCTCCCTTGGCGGTCGCATCGTGAGCATGAGGGTCGTCTTCGCCGGGCCGCTTCTCAGGGCGCAGGTGAGACGAGGAGGATGTGGCGGGGGACAAGGAGGTGTCGGACTGTCTTCGGATATGACTCATGGTCCCCAGCTGGCGAGGCGAGCAGCATCGTGCAATGGCCGCAGGGCTTGTTCGAGATATGTGTGTGTGTGTTTGTGAGTTTGTGTGTGTAGTGTCGCGTGTTTTGACTGAGCCTTGCCCATTCAGTTCGCATCAGGTTGCATTGCCGACATCTGGGGTAACGTGGGGTCACATGATGCTGAGTCAGCGCTCGATCATGCGCGCGAAGCTTGTCATATTCATCTATCAATAAAATAATAGGTCACATAAAGAATTGAAGTAAATCCAAGGCGGACAGAGTCCTCCGAGTCTTGGTCCAAAACTCGGCATCGCCAAAATGATTCAAGGGAGGCTCGAACTCCCGACCTTCGGTGAACTCCTCTGATCGTCATCAAGGCTCTAGATCAGCGTGGATGGATGTTAGACTGACGTGATAACCAACTACACCACCGAACCGGATGATTTCGGTCTACTTTGCGGGGTTCATGCCCTCATGGTCCCTGATGGTGTGGTTGCTGGGACTTGTTGACTACCCACCGTAGCTTAGCTAGCAGGCGGTTGGAAAATGCTCAAAACACTCAGAGACCTCCCAGCTCAGGGTCCCCTACTAGATTTGCTAGTAACCAACGGTTAACGAGAGTTGTCATCTTAAGAACAACAGAACCAGGAATCTTTTACTGTGCAAGACGGTTATACATAGGATAAAACAGCATGATAACTAGGTAGTTTTCCTTATTTGTAAAGGCGTAGAAATGTCATCGATGCGTCAATTTCGTGGTTTGAGGAGGAATCACACGGCGTCGCAACCTTTTGTCAACCGCTTGCTTAGGACCCTAGGAATAGACACAGATAGTTCATGAGAGATTGAGAGGGGGGGTGAGCATGGCATGGGCTTCGAGGCCCCGTCTGTGTAAGACATTGCATGGGGACAGTCAAGATGACGAACCTGCATTTCCCCAGAAAGTCGGTTCACCTGCCGCTTTGGATAAACTGTCTAACCTCGAAAAAAGGAAAAAAGAAAAAGAAAAAAAAAAGAAAACGCCCCCCAAGCCTGGTTGATGGACCAGGCTGATTGCCATGCAGAAAAGACGAACCCACGCCATCCTAACGCCTTGATCGCCGACAGCGCTCTAGCTTCACTCTTGTTGGAGGCGAGTCTCGCTCACAGCTCAAAGTTTGTGTATATCCTTGACTCCCACACACCCAGTGCTGGCCAGCCGCTCTTGTCGACCGAGCTCTCCGCCACGCCAGCCGTGCCAACGAGAAGCCGCACGTCTCCCTTCTCGCACTCGAGAGCAGCAGCCACATCGCCCACTGGTCTCTCCTCTCTGGAAAAGTTCATGACGACCAGCACGCGCCGGCACTGCTCGGTATACGGGCTCTGCTTGACGTACTTCCACACCTTCTCATCCTCGGGCTCGAGCAGCTTGTGCGACCCAAACACAAACACGTCCTTGTAATGCTTTCGTAGCCTCAGCATCTGCCGGTAGAACGAGAGAATCGATTTGGGATCGGCCATCTGCTGCGCGGCGTTGATCCTCTTGTACTCGTCATGCACCCTCATCCAGGGCTTCGCGTCAGCAGACGTGAACCCGGCGTTGGGCGAGTCGTCCCACTGGAAGGGGATCCGCGCGTGGTCCCGCGCCATGATGCGCAGACCGTGCATCGTCTTGGCCATCTTGTCCTCGTCGCCCGACGCGCACGCCTCGGCGTAGAAGTTGGAGCTCTCAATGTCCTTGTACTCCTCGACGCCCCACGCCGCCGGCATGTTGGTCATGCCGATCTCCTGGCCCTGGTACAGGAACAGCGTGCCCGTCATGGTGGCCTGCCACAGCGCGATGGTCCTGGCGCTCGCGGCCCAGAGCGCGGGCGTGGCGTCGTCGCCGAACCGCGACACGGCGCGCCCGTTGTCGTGGTTCTCGCAAAACGCCGTCGCCCAGGCGTCGGTGCCCTCGATGAAGGCCTGCCACGTCGCCGTCAGCGTCTTGAGCCGCGACAGCGGGAACGGGTCGTAGAGGTATTTGCCGCCGAACCCGTTGCCGTTGCCGAGCCGGATGACGGAGAACTCGAACACCATGTCGAGCTCGCGCGCCGCCGCCGACACGTAGGGCAGCACCTGCGACGGGTGCGGCGTCAGCGACAGCTCGCCCACCGACACGGCGTTGTAGGGCGCCAGCGCCTTGGCGTTCATCTCGCGGATGAACTCGTGGATCCGGGGGCCGTTGCACCACATCTCCGGCGCCGGCTGGTGCGGGCTCGTCGGGTCCGTGACGGGCGCGTCGACGTACTCGGTCCGCTTCGAGTACTTGTTGACCGTGTCGATGCGGAACCCGTCGACGCCGCGGTCCAGCCAGAAGCGCATCGTGTTGTCGTAAATGGCCTCGCGGCACTCTTCGTTCTCCCAGTTGAGGTCCGGCTGGTCAGGCGCGTAGAGGTGGAGGTAGTACTCCTCCGTCCCGGCGTCCCAGGTCCACGTCGGGCCGGCGAAGTAGCCTCGCCAGTTTGTGGGTGGGTGCCGGACCCCGTCGGCGTCGTAGCGTGCGGGCTTCCAGATGTACCAGTCTCGTTTCGGGTTGGATTTGGAGGATCGAGAGTCTTTGAACCACTGGTGCTCGTTGGACGTGTGGTTGACAACGAGGTCGAGGATGACCTTCATGCCCCGGCTGTGGCATTCGCGCAGGAGAGTGTCGACGTCTTCGACTGTGCCGTAGGCGGCTCTTGGGACTTGTCAGCGATTCTGAGGATGGCAGAGAGGCCCTCTTCGACACGTACTCAATGGCTTGGTAATCCGACACGTCGTACCCCATGTCCTTCTGCGGACTGGCAAAAATAGGCGACACCCAGACGACGTCGACGCCGAGGTCGCTGAGGTAGTCGACCTTGGAGATCAGCCCCTCGAGGTCGCCCCAGCCATCGCCGTTTGCGTCTTTGAAACTTGCGGGGTACACCTGGTAGAAGACGGCATCCTTCCAGTACGGCTGTTTGCCGACGTAGCGATTCTCGTCGTCCCAGATGAGAGAGCCCATGGTGCGTTTGGTGAGGAGCAGACGGCGTTGGAGACTAGACAGTGAGAGGAGGCAGAAAGGGAGCTCACTCGAGTGAAAGCTAGCCGGGAGGAAACATGGACTTTTGACCAACGTCATGATATCCGATCGGCGTGGTGACAGTGGTTGCAGGGCGGGTCGCGTGGAGATAGGCGGGCATGGTGGGCGGGTGGGCGAACATGGCCACGCGAGCGCGGAGACTCCTCCGGCCAACTCCGGACGAAGAGGAGGCTAGCGGTGTGTCCTTTCCAATTCATGTGAATATGTTTCTTCTCGCAGACTCTGTGACGACGAGGCGTAAAAAATCCCCCTTGTGCGGCGTCCTTTGTGGTACTTGCAGACCAAACAAAACGACAAACTCCGACGCCCGAGGACCGAAGGCGGGAGATGGCGGAGTCTCCGCGCGCCAAGCATCACCTAAAAGCATCAAATACATTGGACTCCGCCCTGCAGCGACGAGACGCGGAGTGGCGTCCCCTCGAGGTGCCAATGTGCCGAGTCATGCCCGGGGGCTCGGTCCCACCACCTGATCGCCCGCGTTTCCCTGCTTTCTCCCCTCGATTCGGCTCACAGCAAATTCTCACGTCTGTCATGACATTGGTTCCCCCCCCCCCCCTTGTCTGACAGTCAACGTGGGTTCATGGCCTTTCCCCAGGCTTCTCCACAGTATTCTTCTTCCCTCCGCCTCCCCACCCAAGCTCCCAGCTCGCAACCCATGAGACCGGGCTCACTCGTTGGGACGGCATAAGTCACAGACCAGACAATCTTCTCCTTAGCGCCGAGGGGATGCATGCACTCTGGGGATAAAAAGGACATTGATGCCCACGTCTCATCGTACATCGCCATTACCACCTCTCAACCCGCATCTCATCCCCTACCTTTACCCACTGCTGCTCTCTGTCGACTTGACTTGACAGCATGGCCGACCAAAAGCCCATAAGCGAGTCGTTCCCCAAGGACAAGGAGATGGCTACCGCTCACGAGGAGGCGGCCGTTGCGCCGGGGGCCATCGCCTCCGAGGCCAAGCAGGCGGCTGATGCCGAGCAAAACATGACTGTCTTGCAGGCTATCAAGGCATATCCCAAGGCCATCGCCTGGTCTGTTCTGCTGTCGAGCACCCTCATCATGGAGGGCTACGATCTTGCGCTGCTCGGAAACCTCTACGGTATTTCGGAGTCTGTCTATCCCCTTTATAGAGCCTGTCTGACCACCCCCCTGCAGGCAACTCGCACTTTAACAAGTACTTTGGCGAGTTCCACGAGGCCAGCGGCAAATACGTCATCTCTGCCGCCTGGCAGTCGGGCCTCTCCAACGGTGCCCGCGCCGGTGAGGTCTTTGGCCTCATCATTGCCGGCTGGATGACCGATCGCTGGGGCTACCGCTACACCACCATGGCCAACCTCGTGGCCATGATCGGCTTCATCTTTATCCTCTTCTTCGCGCCCAACGTCCAAGTTCTCGTCGTCGGCCAGATTCTCTGCGGAATTCCCTGGGGCGCCTTCCAGTCCGTGACACCGGCCTATGCCAGCGAGGTGGCGCCGGTCATTCTGCGGCCGTTCTGCACGACCTTTATCAACGCTTGCTGGGTACGTTATGACGCTCGCCGGGACATCTCCTCGTGAAACAGGCTGCTGACACTTCCCAGGTCATCGGTCAGCTGCTCAGCTCCGGCATTTGCCGCGCAACCATCAACAGGCCAGACAACTGGAGCTGGCGCATCCCGTACGCCGTCCAGTGGGTTTGGCCTATCCCCATTCTCATTGGCCTGATCTTTGCTCCCGAGTAAGTCCGGTGGTCCGACCCTTGCGTGAGCGACGTGACTGACATGTCCCTAAAAAAGATCACCATGGTGGCTCGTCCGTCACAACAGGAGAGAAGAGGCCCGCCACTCTCTTGTGCGCCTCACGAAGCGCGATCAGCCCAGTGTCAACGTCGAAAACACGCTCGCCATGATCGAGTACACCAACGCCCGCGAGGCCGAGCTCAGCGAGGGCACATCGTACCGCGACTGCTTCCGGGGCACTGATCTTCGCCGCACAGAAATTGTCGTGATTCTCTGGATCGTTCAGACGCTGGGAGGACAGAACATAATGGGTTATTTTTCATTCTTTATGGTGCAGGCTGGCTTAGATCCTTCGAATTCGCTTTCGTTGTCGATCGCCAACTCGGGGTTGGGCCTCGTGGGAGTTTTCTGCAGCTGGATATTGATGTCTTACGTGGGGCGGAGAAAGATCCACTTCACAGGACTCACGTGCCAGCTGCTCATCTTGGTCATTGTTGGCTCTCTTCACTTTGCAGGGAACCAGGCCTCTCTGTGGGCAACCGCCGGATGCCTCATTCTCTTCACCTTTGTGTACGACCTGACAGTCGGTCCCGTTACTTACTCGCTCATCTCGGAGCTGTCCTCAACGCGCCTCAAGACCAAGACCATCGTCCTGGCGCGCGCGGCCTACAACACATCCAATATCTTCGTCAACGTCATGACCAACTACCAGCTCTCCACGGCTGCCTGGAACTGGGGATCGAGGACTGCTTATTTCTGGGCCGGCACCTGCTTCTTCTGCGTCATCTGGGTCTATTTCCGTCTGCCAGAGCCCAGAGGGCGCACGTATGCGGAGCTGGATATGCTGTTTGAGCAGGGCGTGTCGGCGAGGAAATTCGCCAAGACGAAGGTGGACGCTTATACCGAAAGCACCCCGCTTGAGAAGAAATCATCGGAGGGTGCTTATTGAAGAGGCAGTGAAAGAGGACTTGTCAAGTCATGAAGCATCTGAAATCGAATTTACGTTCTGCGAGGTTTTTGTACCATGATCCACGTTGGTCATTTGAGGTCATCGTGAATGAGCACTCCACTCACTGCTACATGGTCTCGGACTCTCTGTCACGATCCAAATATGTTACCATGTCGGAAAACGCCCCACACTTATTTGTGCTATGGGCCAAAGGGAATTTTTTACGATTGACTCAATAATCTTCAGTTTAGTACAGCATAAGTAGGTAAGTGAACCACGATTCTACCTTACCTAGGTAGTTTACATCGCGCTACATGAATGATCAATACCATGGTATCTCAAGACATGAAACAGAATCTGGATATCGTTACCTTATCAGTGCGCGGTGATGCCGCTTGGATAGAAAGAGGTTCGGGATGTGGCATATTTAAGATTGTGGATGCGATTGTAGTCGCGCAGCCCAGAGAATCACCACTTGACGTTTACTCTTGACATACCTGATCTTTGCCTCTCTCGTTCGTTCAATGTGTGGTGGTATACCCATATTGCAGCCTTGATAGTTGGAATCACTGGTTCTGTCTGACTACTGATCGGGAGTCATCATGTTGTTACCTGTAATAACGTTGTGGTCAAGGCTTTCCACGTTGTCCGCTGAATCTGAGCAAGGAACTCAGAAACTTCTCACTTTGCTGCAAGCAAACATAATACGAGTGATTCGCCCCAGGTTACTTTGGTGTTCATGGTTCGCCTAGGCTGAGTAGACCTTACCGTACAGATCACGGCGACTCTAATCCATAGAGTCTGATGGATGACAGCGGTGTCTGGCCGTCTAGGGCGCAGTGTTTGGGTCATATCTTGAGGTCAAGCACATGACAAGTGGTTAACTAGAAGGCTGTCTGTCACCAAGACCAAAGTGGCGTGGAAAAGCTAGCTATCAGAGGAGGGAAACCTGGGTGCGAACACTAATAGCGCCTCCCTTCCGTTTCTCTCAATTCAAACTCTGCCTTATTCACAGGAATATCTGACTCATCCGGGCATCAAGTAAAATACCTCCATTCCTGGTCCCGTTCTTTCTTCCTTCCCATTCCCTTCTCCATCCCGACTTCCGCCAGGCGCTGGCAAATGATTTCTCAATCCAACCTCTCTGCTACATCTCGCAATTCGAAACGGATTATTTGTTCTTTAAGTTTGAAGCATTCATCGTACCAATTTCTCTGAGTGTTCTTTCTCGAGTTTCAATGGCCTCCCGGTGCTCTTTATTGCTTGATACCTGCACTTGCGGCCAAGGTTTCGGCTTTACACAACTCTTGTAATGTTTCTGCTCTTTCCAGCTTTTAGGCCCTGTGACCGTTGCATCCTAATTGTACTCATATTCTCGAGAGGCTATCCTCAATTTCATTATGTATCTCCGCTTGTATTACTGACCATTCGGCCTGCTTTTCTCTGTATCACGGAAGCGCCAATTGGCGACTTTTGCGACAAGCCCCCGGGCTATGCTCATTGTTTTTGATCTATGTCCGTGTTATCAAATCTTATACTGACCTGTTAATCCGAAACAATACCATGAACGCCAGGACCTGCTATAGCAGCATCGCATCAGCATCAACATAAGCAGAATCCGCAACAGCAACACCCGCAACATCACCACCATTATCATCACCATGTAAGTCATGCTGTGCACATCGGCAATGACCATGCCAATGGCGACATGTATCAGTTAATCCACATAAAACAATGGATCGCGACGGCAAGAACGACGATAAAGACGGCTCCGAGACGAAAATTGTTAGTGGTCGCGGCGGCGGCAGTCGTGGTAGACGAGGAGGGGGAATAGAAGCCCGAGAAGGCCGCGGAGGCGGTGGTGATCGAGGAGGCTACGGCGGCGGCCTCCGTGGCACCTTGTGCACGGGGGCGACGTTCCTTTGAGGCCTGATTTGCAGCCAGTGCGTGTCATCGGAGCAAGAGTCAAAGCCTCGTTTTGCTTTGGACCGTCCTCACTGGAGCGAGGGTACACGTTGATTGATGATTCACTGGGAGGTAGGTATGAGACTGGTAAACACTCCGGTGTAGTGACGACACGGAAAGCTATCGCTTCGTAACCCATGCTCCACGAACACCAGGCATGTCATCGAGGCTCGATCCATGTCAGGGCACATGAAAACAGACGACACATGAATAACACATCGAAGAATACACAAACATGGAACATTCTACAGACTCTGCCCTCTTCGTCGACGCCACTTCATGACCCTGTCGACAGCCTATACTCGACACCACGCTGACACGCCCCGGTAGCCACCTCAAAAGCCAAGCCCGCATACAACCCGCCGAGCCCCATGAAAGTCCGCGCATAATAGTTGGCGTAGGCCGGCGATTCGTACGTCACAATGACAAAAGCGGTACTGGCTCCGAGCCCGAGCCCGACGGCCAGGTATCGGCCGACCTGCGTCTCCGGCCAGGCGAGCTGCGCGGAGAGGGTGGCCAGCATGAGCGCCAGGAGCTGGGCGGCGAGGATGGCGACGAGGGCGGCGCCCATGTATTCCTCGTTGTCGGCGTATAGCTCGCTCTTGGCCAAGACGCCGATGATGAGCCACGGGACCGCCGAGAGGATGGTGCAGGCGACGGAGAAGCGGGCGCACGTGGCGGTGTCGGTGGTTTCGGGCGCGAACTCCATGGGTTCGAGGGTGACTTGGCGGTCTTCATACTGGGGGAGGATCGCTTTCTCGGAAGACATGACGCTCGGCTATGATGGGGAGCGGGCCAAGATGCCGGATGGATGTTGTCGAGCAGGAGGTGAGATGGGTTTGCGTCTGGGAATGATGATGTCTACAGAGAGACAACTCCCAGATGACAGGCCAGGCTGCCGCCTTTTGAACCCAACAAGGCCTCTGGCGGAACGGTCTCTCCCAAGAATGCCCAGGCTGGGGTCGGGAACAGGGCACAGCAGTCTGAGGAATCCGACCTCTCTTGAACGGGCTTGGCTCACCGCGGTGTGGTTGCCACGACGCTTCCCCCAAGAGGGGCTGAATTCTTCATAACAGCCTGCGTGCGCTTCACTTCTCGGCATTCCGCCCCCGCTGAGCCATGGACGATGTTCTTCTGCAGGGTGTGGACGGTTGGGCCCCATGTTGCGCCGACTGTACACCCCTGGAATGGCATAAATCTGGTCGGGTAGAGCTTTTTGCGCAAGACACCGCGTGTCCGGGAGCCAATGGCCAGAGGAACAAGAGTGGTGGATCTGGCCAGGCCACGTTCAACGAGCTGCACGGTGCACATTCCATGACCCAAGTCGTGTTGGAATGCTGCGGGCCACAATGCAAGGGGCACGTCGATTGACGACAGCGCTGCGACGCCCCCCCCTTTGGCCCCCATACCAGAAATAGCCGGCATGGCGTGCACTTCCAAGACGTACTTCTGTCTGCCAAGCTCATGGCAGGGAGGTCTGCCGCAAGCGAGCCCTCGATATAGCCCAGAGACGAAGCTAACGCGTCGCTAAAGGTAGCCTGAGCATTCAATGCGCCGAACTATTGCTGTGCATGGCTTCTGATACAGGGCTCGGTGCGTGGCGGTTCGCACGCGTCGGGTGCCTCTATCACGACAATGCTGTTGTGGAAGGCCAAGCTCCCCGCCACCAGCGCTTCAAGGTGGATCAGGCGCTGAGTGCCAGGCAAAAATCGAAGCGGTCAAGTTGTGTCTCCTCTTTATTTGTTTGTCACCAGTACCACCTACGCTGAATGGTACGAAGTTGAGAGCCGTTCACCGCTCTCTGGTTCGACGCGAAACAGGCTTCAGAAACATCACGACACCGAATCGCAGGCTCAACGCCAAACAGCCCAAAACAAAAGATATGCTCCGAGGCGGATTCGAACTGCCGTCAATGCAGTATTGTAGTAAGAACCACAATGCATCATCCTAACCAACTAGACGATCGAAGCTGTTGGATGTGCAGGGGTGCGGCCGGCGGCATCTTGACCGACGTGGACGGTGGCGTCATGCGAGACCCGCTGGGCTGCAGCGCCGCCGTTTGTTTTCCGTGTCGTGATCGCTTCGTGTAGACAGGGCGTATGTGGTCACCGGCTGGTCGTGGCCTGATGAAGCTTGAAGGTCGAGTCCTTGAGCATGCATGTTTCGCTCGTCTGTGAGCAGCCATCTCGGTGCAAGACATCTCAACGGCATGCACGGAAGTGTGACATCAAGTGTGTAAACACTGCAAAAGCATTGCGCTACACGGTCAAGTAAGTCATCGATCTATTCGGCGTATGCAAGCCATGGATATCATCCATGCCCAGAGCCATGGGGGCATGCTTCTCTCTATCTACAACGGGAATCTCACTCATCACTCATGAGTCATTACAATTTTTGGTTCGCTTTTCCACCTCGGTTCCTTCCGTTCATCCCAAACCAAAGACATCTAGGACAGGGCCTGGACGAGCTTCTGCACGAGAGCGCGCGTCTCGGGCTCGAGCTGCTCCTCGGGCGGGCTGAGGACCTGCTGGAGGATGGGCAGAATCTTGGGCGTCAGCTGCTGGACGGCAGGGTTCTGCTGGTCGTAGAGCTTGAAGATGGCCTGGTAGATGGGCTCGTTCTCCTCGTAGTCCTCCTTCAGGGGGAGCACGTCGAGGACGGCGGGCAGCACCTTCTCAACGAGGGCGGGCTGCGGGTTGGCGCTGATCATGCGGCAGATGCAGCCGGAGACGTTGTCGGTGATGCGCGACTCCTGGACCTGCAGAAGGGGCTCGAGCTTGCGCAGAATGTCGGCGTAGCGAGGGAAGGTCGTGTTGGTGTCGGTCGAGTTGAGGATGAGCTGGCCAATGGCGTAGGCGGCGTTGGACTTGGTGAGCGAGTCCTCGTCGGAGAGGCGGTGGAAGAGCACGGGGAGCAGCGAGCCGGTGAACTCGGTGACGGCGCCACCCATGAACTTGATGGCCTCGGCAATGACACCGACGGCGGTCGAGCGCTCGAGGGACTCCTGGGAGCTGGCGAACTTGAGGACCGGCTTCTCAAAGACCTTCCAGAGCTCGCCAAAGTCGGGGCCGAGGGCCGTGGCGAGGCCCAGCACGACGTCGAGGGCCGTGTCAATAACGAGCCAGTCAAACTCGGACGAGCCGCCCTCGGCGTCCTGCTCCTCCTCCTCGTCACCAAGATCCTGCTGGCAAGGGTGCGAGCGGGTGATGAGAGTGCTGAGGACAGTGACGGTCTGGGGGAGCATGTCCTCCTGGGTCAAGATGGCGGGACCGCAGGCCTTGAGGGTGGCACCAACGTTGCGGTTGATCTCGGTGACGACGTCACTAGAATAATCGTCAGCGTCAAGTCGAATAGAGTAGCGTGCGTGACGACGTGTAGAGGATATCCAAAGTCAGGAGTAGATCAAACGTGTTCTCAGCAACCGCGGCATAAATGCCGCGTCTGAGTGAGCTGGGTATAACGCGAGGTATTCATCATTCAGGAGTGGGGATTGTAAAGAGAGGCGTGGCACATACCGTTCGTTGTCGTCGGCCCAGAGCATGAGAGTGGCCTTGGTGACAAGCTCGCCAAGGGCGGTGAGCGAGGCATCAGGGGTCTGCTTCAGGGGAATACCAGGCTGCCACTTCTGGCCGGACTGGTCCTCGAACAGCTGCCAGACGCGGGCGTACGAGCGCCACAGAGTGGAGAGGGCGGCCTTGCGGCTGCCGTCATAAGCGCTCTCCACGAGGGGAAGGATCTTCTCCATGGCGGGCTCGAGGTATTGCCTGACGGCGGCGAGATCGCACGAGTGGGTGACGACGTCACCGAACACCTCGAGAGCGATCTCCTGCTCCATGTCGATGGCGGTTACACCGGCGAGGTCATCGAGCCAGTCCTCGTCATCCTCACCCTCCTCAGCAATGGCCTGGTCAATCTCGTCCTCGGTAGGCTTGACCTTGATGCGGCGGCCACCGACGGAAATGACACCATCGGGAGCGTCGTCGGCGTTGAGGCCGGGGATCTCAAGCTCCTCCTCCTCAGACTCGAGGCACTCAAAGAGGCCCTTGAAGACGCCGGGCAGGAAGTGGGCAAAGTCAGCACCGTAGACCTTGGAGAGCGAGGCCCAAAGGATAAAGCTAGTCTCCTTGAGGCGGGCGCTGTCCAGGGACAGTGCCTCCTCGCTGGCCTTCATGAGGTCGACGACGTAGGGCTGGAAAGCCTCGGGGCCGACGGCGCCGGCGATGCGGCCCATGGAGTCGCAGACGGAGGAGCGCAGAGCGAGGGTGTCATCATCACCAGTGACGGTGACGTACTGGCCGAGAGCGCTCATGACGTCCTTGAAGTAAGGCTTGAAGGCCTCACCACCCATGGAGAAGGCGATGGCGCCAATGGCGCCAGCGGCGGCAGCCTTGACGCCCGAGTCCTCGTGGTTGAGGAGCTTGCCCATGGGCACGATGAGCTTGGGGCCGTACACCTTCATGAGGTCGGCCTCGAGACCCTCGCCGACGAGCGAGTCGAGGGCGCTGCAGACGGAGCGGATGACACCGACGTTCTTCTTGCTCGACTCCTGCGAGGCAGCCTCGAGGTTCTTCAGGAGAGCGGCAATGAGGTCCTCGTGACCAGAGGCGAGCTCATCAGCCATCTCGTCGGCGAGGTGGATGAGACCAATGAGGGCAGCGTAGCGCACGCTGTCATCGTGGTCGTTGAGGAGCTTGACGATCATGGGCAGGAGAGTCTTGAGCTGGGTGGCAATGAAGTCGGGGGCACCCTCGGCGGCCGTGCCGAGAGCGAGGATGGCGGCCTTGCGGTGGCCGGGGTCCTGGTGCTGCGCGTACTGGGGGAACGTCTCGAGCAGGGGGACGATGACCTGGCGAGGGGGCAGGTCGCTCGCGAGCTGGTCGATCAGGGAGAGAGCAGTCTTGGCGGGCGACGTGTCATCGGGGTCGGCCTCGTCCTCGACCTCGGTGAGGATCTGCATGCTCTTGACCATGAGCTGGGCACCCATGTCCTTCATGGCCTGAATCTTCATGCGGCGGTAGCGAGCACACTGGCCGAGGAAGGACAGAGCCTGCGAACGGGCCTCATCCTCCGCGTTGGTGTTGGCGGCCAGGTCAATCATGAACTGGATGAGATCCTTGAGGTGGGGTGCCAGGAAGGCGGGGTCGTAGGCGAGGAAGTTTTGGAAAATCTCAAAAATGACCTTGTACTGCTCGTCGGCCTCGGCCTGCACGGCGTCCTTGAGAATCTGGACAATGGGCTGGACGAAGAAGTGAATGGCAGCGAGGCTCTCGGCATCGTCCTCGGGGTCGACGAGCATCAGCAGCGAGCCGATGGCCTTGACCGAGTTGAGGCGGACATCGACGCTGGCGGGGTCCTGAATGGTGGACTTGAGGATGTTCAGGAGCTGGGGTACCTGCTCGCTGAAGTTTGTGGGGTCCTCGTCGAGAATGGCGTAGAGGGTGAAGGAGCCAACCTCGCGAGCGGCTGTGCTCTCCTGGCTGACGAGGGAGAGGAGCTGCTCGACGCAGGCCTGACCGGCGGCGTCCTTGTTGTCGAGGTCAATGCTGATGGCACGGGCCAGGAGACGGCACTTGGAGTGGCGACCGTTGGTGGTAGGGTCGCTGACAGCGCTCTCAATGAGGTGCTTGCGAGCGACGTTCCGCTGGTCGTCGTTGACCTTCAGCCAGTGCTTGGCCGTGATGCGCTGGGCCTGCACAGAGGCCAGCTGACGGATGCCGGCGTCATTGTGGGAGACGGCAATCTCGATGAGCAGCAGCAGGGACTGGGGCTGCGAGTAGTAGTTCTTCTGGAGCTCGGCGGTGACGGCCTTGACCTTTTCCGTGTCGGCTGTTTAGAAACGAAAGTGTCAGTAGGACCAATACGATGAGAAGAGATGAAAAAAATACGTAGTTTTGTAGGAACAGCGAGGAGAGGAAGAATCAGCAAAAGGAAAAAAAAAAATCCTGGTGGCTGGGGGTAGGAGCCAGGGTTTCTTCTTCCTCACCTCGCTTCGTGCCGGTCAGTGCGGCCAGCAAGGGGGGGGTGCACGATGTCTTGCCTTGCGCGCGCGCGCAGGCTTTCATCGCGGCCAAAGAACGAAGGAGGGAAAACGGGATAGAGACTCACGAATCTGGCTCGCCTGGAGCAGCTGCGCCAACTGGTCCTTGTCCATGATGGCTGATTTTGGGAGGAAAGGAGGAGGGGGAGGAGAAGTGAGGAGGGGTGGTAGAGGGGAAGGGAAAAAAGGTGAAGCCAGAGAAAAAGTTGCCCCGCGGCAGAATTTATCAGGCAGTCTGTTGTTTTGGGGCCCCGCTACCCTCTGTTGTTACGACCAGGTATGTACATGTACCTCATCCTTTGGTCCTTGGGTACGGTACTTCAGCGGTTGCGTGGGACTGGCGCGAACCATGAGGTACCTCTCTCTCTCTCCCTGCCTCTGGTGTGTCGGGTGTGTGTGTGGGCAGGCGCAAATTCTGGTGCTGCGCTGGCTGTCGCTCGCTGCTGCCCAACTCCAGTGGCCATCGCTTCCCAGATCAGAAGCACCACAAAAATTTACATTTTACTGGGGCCACTGATGACCTGGCTTGTCTGGCTTGCCTGATCATGGTCCACAGCCTATTTTCCGCCGTCCATGGTCCACCTGAATGAGCAAAGCGTCCTGCTCGAGAGGAAGACCCTGGAAAAAAAAATTCTACTGCCCCCGCATCTACAAGATTGGACTTTTCGGATAAGATAAGAGGTGCTGTCGTGGCGGGGTAACGCGACGCGTGCCGTGCCTTGGTGCGGGCTCGCACTATTGGCACTGTCCTTACGTCATCCCTTCCTGTCTGTCAGCAGATGGATGAATCACTACGAAGCCCACTTGCACCTCGAGAGAGACGCCCTCATCGCGTACCTGCCTATTTACCTACACACTTGTCTTGGTGACCAGATCGAGTTCTTGTATCTATCTGGACTGCTCCTCCAAACCCATTTTCATCCAGTCCCGAGTTTCCACTTCATCCATCAAGTGCTTTCCGATGTGTCAAAATCGAAGAAATGAGGACTCTCAGCGTCCTCAACCTCACGATGCCTCATGTGCCTCTTGGGCCGAGCGAGCGCAGTCTGCTGCCACCCATGCCCTCCGAACGAACTCGACTCCAGCCTGCTTGGCAGAGGCGTGCGAGGAGGCGGCCTATTTCAGCTCCTGAGATGTTCAGGAAAACGCCAAAGCGATGCACATGAGAGGCGTCGAGCTGAGAGGTGCTCTTCCCAACCGCACCCCGGCTGACTCAACGACTGCTGCAGATCGATTCGGCACTTGGATCAACCAACATGGGCCCGGAGTGCTGCCACGGCAAGCCTTTGGCCCCTACGACCTTCCCAAAACATGCCACAAGCCCGCCAACCGCTTTCGTCACCGCCATGCCGGTGACTCAAAATGAGGCCAATCCGCCTCGTCTATCTGACATGGCAAGCGGCTGACATGGCGTATATAGAGGCGCATCATTCCGGATCTCAGGCAGTCTCTTGACTGTCTTCAGGAAGCATCGACCATCACCACCGCTACCATGACAACAGACGCGGCTCCCCAGGTTAACGACCTCCTCATCGTGACGGATGCCACGTCGTCTATGAACAGTTACCTACAAGCTCTCCGCGATGTCCTTCCCGACATCATCCGGGTTTCCTCCCTCACACGCTGCTTTTCGCGCGTCGGCATCATTGCCTACCGTGACTATGGCGGCCGTGCCGGCGCGGCTCCTGTGACTGAGTGGTCAGGCTGGAACTACATGGACGAAAACGACGATCATGGCGAAAGCATAACCCAAACCGGGCTCATCGACTTCGCCAACACTCTTCATGGCAGTGGGGGCTACGACTGGCCCGAGGCCGCCAAGAGTGGCCTTGCGCTCGCACACAGCGTCATGCGCGAGGACGCGACAACCATCATGCTGCTCTTCACTGATGCCCCTCCCCACCTCCTAGCTGTGGGAGGCGTACCATGTCAGGCTGAGATCGTCAAGCTGTCGGACCGGGAGAGTTTTGGCGGCAGCGGTCCCGACTTTATCGATTGGATCTCAGGTGCCACACTCTTGTCGGATGGCGACCGCAAGGCCCAAGTCTTTGCCCTCGTCTACGCCACAGATGTCCAGGCGTCACTCCTGTACCTGACCACCATGACAAACGGCAACTATTACCACCTCAAATCAGCCACGTCAGATGTCGTTTCCGACTTGACCATGCATGTGCTCCTGGCCTGGATGGGATTTGCGAACGACCAAGACGAACACTTCAACGATATCGTAACGACTGCCACCTACCGCAACACAGATGGGCTGAGAGATGCTCGGAAGGAAGGTGACGCGAGTCTGCGAAGTTTCATGGATTCGCAAGCTTGGCGGCTTCAGTCCAGTCACGTCAACTTCAACATCACGTTGAGCGAAAAGGCCCAAGGCCATGGGACGACTGTGGTTGTCACGAACCCACGCGCGTTGCCCATGCAAGCGCTCGAGGCGAGATACGCCAACGATGCCGAGTACCGCGTCTTTGCGTCAAAGCAGCTTGCCGCCATCATCGAGAGGAACGCATCCGCCGTGGCGACACATCCCGTCTACGGTTCGCTCTGGCGTGCCGTCTGTGCTGATAGGGCGAACGATGCCCGAGCCGGTCTGGTCATGGCGTTTGGACAGGCTATCGACCGTATCACCAGTGAAACAAAACGTCAGAAAATGAAGGACTGGCTCGCGCAATCTTACGATTTCAGCGCGGTCATCAAAGATGCCATCAGCGATGTGACCGAGGACGAACGTTATCCCTGCGTGCTGTTCGACCCAACAGAGAATTTCACGGCCGTCGCTACCGCCGGAGGCACAGACAACCGACCGGTCACAGACTTGACTCGCGAAGAACTCCTGGAGATTGGACGATCGTGTGACCCTAGAATCCTCCGCCGCCTCGGCAAGGTGCTTACGCAGCTGAAATATGTCGCTACCGAGGCCGATCTCCCTGCCCACCTCAGAGACGGGCCCGGCGTCGATGTTCCTCGTATCCCTCTGGCGCTCGCGAAGCCTGAGCACAAGCGCAGCTTTTGGAAGCTCCTACTTCACACCATTGTTCCAGGCACGCAGCTTTCCACGCGCCCTGCCGCGCTGCTTGCCGCCCTTGCCCTTCGCATGGGAATCCTGCCGTTGAGAGCGGTCGCTGACCAAGAAATGATTGCGTTCAGTGACAAGTGGAATAACTTGACGACAACGGAAAACTGGAACCTTGGCTGCCTGTTTCTGCTCCTCGACGCAGACAGGGATTTCGAGGTGCGTGTCTCGGAAGGGACGGCCCAACGCCCCAGGCCTGATGCCCACGTTCTTTGCGATGAAGATCGCCGTCTGTTCCGCACTCTGGTCGACTACAAGATGCTGGAGCAGAACCTGCAGACAACCCTCCAGGCGCGGATCGGTTGGCAGCCCTCCAAGTCCAAGGTGGCTCTCGGCCCTGTCGCTCCGTGCAAACGTTGCAACATGCCACGGTCAGTGACCATCATGGGCCGGGGCGGCATCTGTGGTGTATGTGAGTCCAACTACGACTGCCGTTGCCAGCGCTGCGTGAAGCTGGACAACCACGCGGAATGCGTGTGGACCAACGTCACGGCGCACGACGACGAGAAGACGCCTGCAACATGGGTCGAATGCTCCGTCACGACCTGCCGTGCTCAGTACGTCGTGTACACCCCGGACAGGCTGCGGGTGCGGCCCAAGTGCTACTATTGCCTCCATGCCAGTCAGCCTGACCTTGGCATTGGAGCGTCGCCGACCGTGGAGTGCACAACTTGCCTCAACCGAATGATTTGGCCCAACGAAAACCGTCCCCACGGCTTTGATGAGGGCTCTTTCAAGTGTCCGGCATGTGTCACCGGCCTCGTCACGGTGATTGAGTACGAGACCAATGTCACGAGAATGAGGGAGGAGAACGGGTCGCAGTGGCTGCTCCGCAACGACAGCAATGCCCTCGAGGAGCCTTTCAACGGCCGTTCTCTGTTCCACACCATTTCCAGTGTCAAGGATATCGACTCGTTGGCTTCCAACGTCGAGATTCTCCCAGCTTTCGCGACGAGTCTGACGATCAGGGGCAAGACTGTGCAGAATCAGGAAGCTCTGCTTTCGTGTCTGCGGGGCTGGGTAGACCAACGCCAGTCCGAGTCTGGCACATGCACGCTCTGCTTCTCAGACCTGCGCAAGACCGACCTCCGGGCTGCCTGCGGCAGGAGAGGCTGCGGCTCTCAGATCTGCACCTCCTGCCTGGACGGCTGGTACGGTCTGAACACGCGGGGCAGGGTTCTCAACGTGGCAGCGCTTTCGTGCCCGTTCTGTCGACGACAGCCTACAGCACACGTGGCCAACAGGTACGGGCTCGTCCACGTTGGCGGGCTTCGCGAGGCCGTGGCCAATCCTGCCTGGATTTACGCCTGGTGCGCTGGGTGCGGGTTTGCGAAGGAGTTTGCCGAAAGAGTGTGCGCCCAGGGCGCGCCTGCAGACGTGCAAGACTGGCGATGCGGGGAGTGTGAGATGCCGCATGCCGAGACCACGGGGAGAAAGGTGGCCATGGTGATGCGTGAATGCCCTGGATGCAGCACGATGACGGAGAAGATCAGTGGCTGCGATCACATCACCTGCCCGAACTGTGATGCGCACTGGTGCTTCCAGTGTGGTGAAGACGTCGGGTATGGCCAGATCTACCAGCACATGAGCGAGGAGCACGGTTGCTGGTGGGATGACCGAGACGATGGTGATGGTGATGTTGAGGATGAGTGGGAGTATCAGTATTGATTGATGTATGTGATAATCTTGTCTACCGTTCTTTCAGTTCCCGCCTTGTCCCAGTTGGTCAATGTCAACCAGACGTTGGTGTGATGTGCATGGCATCGGGCAGACGGACTAATCCGTGCTGGCACCACGCGGCGGACATTCTCCGCCCCCCCTCCTCCGCTGGCGGATGGGTGGCGATCGCGACATTCCCGTCCCCGCATCGGAAAACCGACGTCAGGTCGCCCAGCCAATCCAGCCAGGTGTATTTCACAACACCTGTCGGGCTTCATGATTTATGATGTATGGTATGAACTACGACCATTGTGACATTCTTTTGTGCACTTTCTGAAACTCTCAGCCATGACAGACCAACATCAACCAAGCGCAGGCTCAGCTGACCCTCTGGCCGACTATGATCTCTCCACGCCCATCTCCACAACCCAAGGCGGTCTTCGCCAGGGCCTCACATCCTACGGAGACGCTCACTTCTCGCTTTTTCTGCGCAAAGTCTTCATCAAGGCCCTCGGCTACAGCGACGACGCTCTCTCACGGCCCATCATTGGCATTGTGAACACGTATTCCAGCTTCAATCCCTGCCATGCCAACATTCCGCAGCTCATCGAGGCCGTCAAGCGGGGTGTACAGCTGAACGGAGGTCTGGCCGTCGATTTTCCCACGATCAGTCTGCACGAGTCGTTTTCGAGTCCGACCTCAATGTATCTGCGAAACCTCATGAGCATGGACACGGAGGAGATGATTGCTGCGCAGCCATGTGACGCTGTTGTTCTGATAGGAGGTGAGATCGCAAGGTCAGGCACCCCCTCTTACCTTGCACGACTGACGGACCCAGGCTGCGACAAGACGACGCCAGCGCAGCTCATGGGCGGCATATCTGCCAACAAGCCCATCTTGCACCTCGTCACGGGGCCCATGATGCCGGGAAGCCACAAGGGCGTCCGGATCGGCGCCTGCACAGACTGCCGGAACAACTGGGTCAGCTTTCGGGCCGGTGCCATTGATATCGAAGACATTTCGGCCATCAACGATGAGCTGGCGCCAACGGTAAGCCGTCAAGTCCTTGAGACGATGAGACTATGACTGACCCCGCCAGGCCGGAACATGCGGCGTCATGGGCACGGCCAGCACAATGGCGTGCATCCTCGTGGCCCTCGGCCTGATGCCGTTCAAGGGCGCCTCGGCGCCGGCCGTGTCGTCGGCGCGCCTGCGCATCGCCGAAGAGACGGGCGCCAACGCCGTGCGCGCGTTCAAGCAGCAGCTCCGCCCGCAGACGGTGCTGACGCGCGACTCGTTCCTCAACGCCATCACAGTGCTCCAGGCCATCGGCGGCTCGACCAACGCCGTCGTGCACCTCATGGCCATCGTCAACCGCCCCCCGGGCGTCGCCGGCACCATCACGCTCGACACGGTCGACGCCATCGGCCGGTCGACGCCGCTGCTCGTCGACCTCAAGCCCAGCGGCGACAAGTACATGACCGACTTCCACGACGCCGGCGGCATGGCCGTCCTGCTGCGCGCGCTGCGGCCGCTGCTGCGCCTCGACGCCCTGACCGTCACGGGCCGCACGCTCGGCGCCGAGCTCGACGCCGCGCCCGCCGCGTCCGTGCCGCGCACGAGCCCCGTCAGCTGCATCCAGCCCCTCGCCGAGCCGCTGCACGCGGCGTCGTCGCTCGTCGTGCTGCGCGGCAACCTCGCGCCCGGCGGCGCCGTCATGAAGGCCAGCGCGTCCAAGGACAGGCGGCTGCTGCGGCATGCCGGGCCCGCCGTCGTGTTCGCTGGCGCCGCCGATCTGGCGAGGCGCATCGACGACCCGGCCCTCGAGGTCACCGCCGACAGCGTGCTCGTGCTGCAGAACATCGGGCCCGTGGGCAACCCCGGCATGCCCGAGGCGGGTCTCATTCCCATTCCGAGAAAGTTGGCGGCCCAGGGCGTGCTGGACATGCTTCGCATCTCGGACGGCAGGATGAGCGGCACGGCGGGAGGGACCATTGTTCTTCACATTTCGCCTGAAGCCGCGGATCCCGAGTCCGTGCTGGGCATCGTCAGGAGTGGCGATATCATTACCTGCGACGTAGAGGGTCGGGTGATCAGGGTGGAGATTTCAGACGAGGAGATTCAGAGGAGGTTGAAGGAGAAGAAGGAAACGCTGGAAAGGGAGGAGGCCAAGGAGGGCGCGACGCCGGGGTCTTGGACGGCGAGGAAGACGATCAGGGGGTACCGGGGGCTCTACATGAGATCGGTGAACCAGGCGCAGCAGGGCGCCGACTTTGATTTCTTGACGGCTGCCGGGCCGCCTGGAGGACAGGAGTAAGATGGGGGGCTGCGACGGCAGATGCAATGTATATATATATATGTATGCAGCCTTACGTCCTGTGGGCAGGAGAGGATTCCGCATTGCTGATTTGACTTTGTCTGCCAGACTTGTTCGTAGGCTCGTCAAACTTGTCGATGTTCGGAAAAATTCGGAAAAGATATATTCAGCGCCAAAGAGCATACTAGGAGATCAGGGCAACGCAGCTGGTTCATCATTTGCCTTCAGCTCAGGTCGCCTGATGCTCTCTGCCTCATCGGGTTTCCCGATGACTAATCACATTTCTCTCGTCGATTCGTAGTCCTCTCACTTGAGGACCTGACCTTCACAAAGAACAACTTTGAAAAGATCGGTATCAGCGAGACAGCGCGGAACGAAATTCCTCATGTCTTGATACTCCGTTAGCACATCTTCGATCTCCACTGCTTTGTCAGCGGCCATCATCGTAAGGTCCTGATCCGTGATCTCAGCAACTAGATGCTTCAGTAAAAGTCGGATTTCTATTACGACCTGACAGCTTCCAAGAGGGAAACTGTCAGATGGTTGGGATAGCTGTTGGTTGGCAAAAGCTTGAGTTGTGACTCTGAGACGATGTAGTATCGTAAAGCGTTGCGCACTCTATACAATATATACAAAGGAAGACTTAGACTGATCACTGTCGTGAAAAAGAAATGTATCTACAAGTCAAGAATATTCGTCCTTGTATACCCGTTCGTCCTTTCCTTGTGGTCTTGGTTAGTAGGCCCATGTTACATAGCTCAAAATCAGTTCGTAATCCCATCATGTTGGATTGTAGATCATGGTGATCCAGTCCCAACAGCGATCCAGGCTCTTGGATTACTGTCCTCTGGTGATCCGACCATGTGACTACGCGTTAAGTGCTCCTTATCTTATCGTCCCTTGGGCTGTGTCGTCCTGCCGTCTCGTCCTGGCCTCTGTTCTGGCCTCTGGTTGTTACAAGTATATGACTCGGACGTTGATTAGCAGTATATTAGATACGTACGTGGCTCCTAGTGATTTTACTGTCATTCTTATGAGCCGAATCTTCGGGTGCGAGGTTGTTGGGCTTTCTCTACTTCTTGCGAACTTCATCTTGTCGAAATATTGAGGTCACTAGATCACCTATCGGATGTTGTGATGATGGCCTCAATGGTACGAATAAAGATGAAAATATGATATCGGAGCATTCGTAACTCACGGAGTTTCTTCCACACTGTCTTATTGTTGAGAGGGCTTCACTGCTTACGTGAACCCTGATTCATTGCGTTGGCTGTGCCTGAGAGCTCTGAATACGTAGGGTAGGCGATATAAGTCTTGTGATGTGATTGATGCTATCTCTCTGAATTACTACTCCCTACGTGAGTCAGGTATACCTATCTGATTCACCGATCTTGTAAGCTGTGATTCAAGTGCTCCTGAAAGCTGTGAATCCCAGCCCCGGTGATCACCATACTGGTGATCCCCTACCGAGACCACCACCCTAGGGAATCCCCTAATATTGGTTCAACATTTATCGTTATTGTAACAAGTTATCTGGACTCGTTTTTTGTGATGGTCAGGTTTTGAAAACACCTGTACGAGCTCCCTGTCGTGAGACACGCGAATCCACAAGACTGAAAACCACAGAGCTCGGTAACTTTGGCGTAGACACTGCGATCTTTCAACAGAAGAACTATTCAAACTAATGACTGGATACTTTAAGCAGTCCTCGTCTTGAATGGTGGCTTCGAACGTGCAGAGGAAGCAGCCTGAAGACCTCCACGCTGTTACGGGATGAATAGCTATCTCGAGAAACGAAATCTTCAATACGGACGAAGAATGCTTTCATAATAAAGCGGGGTGAGCGAAGACCCCTTCTAATCAGGGCCATATCAACAGTCAATGAAGAAAAAGATAGGTGTTTCGAAGTGTGATGTTGGATTCATAATTCCCTCCCCGGAGGCCCTCGCCACGAGTCTACCTCATGTCCGTTCCCCTGATCAGCCACTCCTTATCATCTTATCGCTAAGCCACACTAATTCAACCTGCCCGGTTTCAATACCCTTCGCCAACACAAACCGAGTGCAGAGTAGGTTTGGAGGGACTTGAGTTCGCAACTCGCCAAACTCGGCTCACAGGTGTAGCCGACACAAGCAGGAATACGCGCGAAAGCAGGTTCCATGGTATAGGAATAGGAAGCGCCTTCTTCAAGTTTTTATCAAGAAGGGAAGTTCGACTCTCCTGCTAGTAGTCGCGTTCTGCGAAGCGTCGCTTTCTGTGATGTTTGGCGTGGACAGCGTTCATCATTGCGAAGTCTGATGCGTTACTGACCCTCACTTCGCAGGTGTCACCTCAGAGGGAGCCGGTGGGGATTGCTTGAGCAACCGTTTTATGTTTGCGGTCATGTAAATTGTAAAGATATTGACATATGGATGGGCTAGACATCCTGCCAAGTCGATTAAGGCGCGTGCAGAGTCTAGGTCTAAATACTGATTACTATATAACGTGACCAATACTTCTATCCTCTAGGTAGGCTTTGAGAACATTACCTCTGCTGGGGTACTCATTGTATGGCAAAAATAATCTAGCGTGAAGAGGCGGTGTTGAGGGAGCGATCTTACGCGAGTCTCAAGCCATGTCATCGCTTGGCAATGACTTTCACTGGAGCCTGACATGCAGGTTGCACCAATGCCTTATCGACGTTCCACGCCTC